GTCTTCGATCCTATGATTCCCTCTTCCCCCTATTCTACCCCCACCCCTCAACTTCCTGTTCCCCCATGACCAACTCCCTTCCTCTTTACCCCCTCTATTCTTCCCAGGTCCCACTCCCCCTCCCTCGCCGTGTTCCCCATCCATTCAGAGGATCTTGTCTCCATCCTCTTCTCTTGGGTACTATGCATATATGCATATCTTTTAGGTTCTTTCCTGTTTCCCAGACTCTCTATCTGTGGAAGTGCAGACTGGCACTATCCTGATCCATGTCTAAAATCCATATATGAGTGAGTACATACCATGTTTGTCTTTTTGCGACTGGGTTACTTCACTCAGGATGGTTTCTTCCAGTGCTATCCATTTCCCTGCGAATTTCAAGATTCCATTGTTTTTTTCTACCGAGTAATACTCCATTGTGTAAATGTACCACATTTTCTCTATCCACTCTTCAGTTGAGGGGCATCTAGGTTGCTTCCAGGTTCTGGCTATTACAAACAATGCTGCTATGAACATAGTGGAGCAGATGCCCTTGTTGTATGAACCTGCCTCATTTGGATAAATGCCTAAGAGTGGAATTGCTGGGTCTAGTGGTAGATTAATTCCCATTTTCCTGAGGAATCTCCATACTGATTTCCAAAGAGGCTGTATGAGTCGGCATTCCCACCAGCAGTGGAGGAGTGTTCCTCTCTCTCCACATCCTCTCCAGCATAAATTGTCTTCGGTGTTTTTGATTCTAGCCATTCTGACAGGAGTAAGATGGTATCTCAGAGTTGTTTTGATTTGCATTTCCCTGATGGCTAAGGATGTTGAGCACTTTCTTAAGTGTCTCTTGGCCATTTTAGCCTCCTCTACTGAGAATTCTCTATTTAGCTCTGTACCCCACCTTTCAAGTGGATCCTTTGGTGTTTTGGAGACTTGTTTCTTGAGTTCTTTGTAAATTTTGGAGATTAGCCCTCTGTCAGATGTAGGGTTAGTGAATATCTTTTCCCATTCTGTGGCCTGCCTTTTTGTCTTTTTGACTGTGTCCTTTGCCTTACAGAAGCTTTTTAGTTTCAAAAGTTCCCATTTGTTAATTGTCGATCTCAGTGCCTGTGCCACTGGTGTTATGTTTAGGAAGTGGTCTCCTGTACCAACTCATTGAAGAGTATCTCCCACTTTCTGTAATCTACCAAAATGTCCAGGATAATAAAAGTAGAAAGCAGATGTTTAGCCATCAAGGTACTGGAAAGGGAGAAAGAGAACTTTGAATTTAATGTAAACAAATCTTGATTTTCAGCATAAAAATGTTCCAGAACTATTTGTATGGCTGTGAATACATGTAGCAGAGAATTGTAACTGTTCAGTAGGCTACAACTGTGCATCTTATATGTGGATGTGCACAGTTTTAAAGCACCCACTCCTCTAATATTTCTAATGCTGCTGGGTGTCTTCCTGTGGAGGATGCTATCAGTTTTTATGCAGGAGGTTTGGTGCTGCTGTTCTTTGTGATGGGCTGATATTTCATTACCAGGACATAGAAGACTTTCTCCAGTCATCCGGAGAACATGGTGTTGTGGTGTTTTCCCTGGGCTCCATGGTGGGAATCCTAACACAAGAAAGGGCCAATGTGATTGCAGCAGGCCTCGCCCAGATTCCACAGAAGGTGAGATACAAACTCACTGTTTCATCCTCACTAAGATTGCCACATCCTGGTCAGGTGTGACTGCAGAGACCACCTGTGTGACACTGAAGCTGTCATGAAAACTCTAGATCATCTCTGAAGTCACCTGTGACACAGAAATATAGGGACAGGTGCCAAATACTGGGTGGTGTTTTTGATTAATAACTGAATATCATTGTGTTCAGAACAGTTAACAAGTGCTTGTGCCCTTAGTGTTAGGAAGGTGTTATATGCACAGAAATGTGCCTTGTTACTTCCTCCATTTTCTTGCAGATACTACAGTGTAATGAGACTGCTATTAAATTGTAAAGAAGCAGACACTCACTATTGTCAGTTGTGGGACCTGAGAAGTGACCTATATTTTAGAGGATTTTCTGCTCACACAGAGGACCTGAGCTTAGTTCTGAGGCCCCATGTGTGGCAGATTACAGCTGCTATTCATGCATCACATAGAATCCAAAGCAGTCTTAAAACCTCATAACACACACACACACACACACACACACACACTTAACATACATATGAAGACAGAGATAAAAGAGAGAGTACAGAGATTAGTTTACACCTAAATAAAAATATTTCCTTATCTTAAAATGGAATTTGTGCACTCTGATTTGTTTATTTTATTTTTTTATTGTGTAGATGCCCATCTGATTTGTAAGGAAAGAGAAGAAAAGTTATGAATTTCAATGAGAGGGTTGGGGAGGAATGTTTAGGAAGTGTAGGAGGGGAATCCAAAATTAGAATATATTTTATGGATGAGAAAAATCTTTTTTTCAATAAATTTAAAATAGACAAAGAATTAAATTGTGAAAAGTAAGAATGGGGGGTGTATCATAGTGTTACATTCCTGTTTAACTTTGCCCAGTGTTCTCTCCTACATTTAAAGTGGGCCTTTTCTGGTATGTTCCCCTGGAATTCAAAACATAGCTAGGACAGGATTTTCCAATCTCCAACTCCACCTTTGGGACTGAGCCTGTCAACCCTGAAATGGGAGATAGACAATTAAGAAAGTGCTCAACATCCTTAGCCATCAGGGAAATGCAAATCAAAACAACTGTGAGATGCCATCTTACTCCTCTCAGGATAGCTAAAATCAAAAACGCTAAGGACGGTTTATGCTGGAGAGAATGTAGAAAATAGGAGACACTCCTGCACTGCTGCTGGGAGTGCCAACTCATACAGCCACTTTGGAAATCAGTATGGAGATTCCTCAGGAAAATGGAAATCAGACTACCACAAGATCCAGCAATTCGACTCTTAGACATGTACCCAAAAGATACACATTCATACAAGGATGTCTATGTCACTATGTTCATAGAAACGTTATTTGTAATAGCCAGAACCTGGAAGCAAACTAGATGCCACTCAACGGAAGAGTGGATAGAAAAAAAATGTGGTACATTTACACAATGGAGTACTACTCAAAAACAATGGAATTTTGAAATTTGCAGGCAAATGGATGGCACTAGAAGAAACCATCCTAAGTGAGTTAACCCAGTCAGAAAAAGACAAATATGGTATATACTCACTCATATGTGGATTGTAGACATGGATCATGAGAGTGCCAGCCTACAATCCCACTGCCAGATAGTCTGGGAAACAGGATCAAAACTATCCTTGGAAAAGTTTAAGGGTTTGTTGTTTGTCTGTTTTGTTTTTGTTTTTGTTTTCATTTTTATTGATTTATTGATGGCTTCTAAGAAACCGATTGGCATGAATTGTTAAAAAATGAACCCCTAACTCTCACCACTTACAAGTATCATTTAAAATGTTCTAAGAAGTAAAGGAAGACATTATAAATATAAGATGTTGGTAAGAGTGTGTGTTGCAGGATTCCCTCCTGAGTCCCATTATTTCTTTATCCCCATAATGACACACAAGACACTATATTAATTATGAAGCTGATGACAATTTGACAGTTTCTTATCAGCTAGCTCTGACTTAATAACTGACCCATAATTACTAATATATGTTTTATAAGGACTTATCTTTATGAGAACACACTCCTGATGCATTCATTCCTCTCTGGGGATCACATGGCAATGACTCTCTCCACTACATTTCCAAGAATCCTCCTAGACTCCTAGACCCACCTGTCTTGCTTCCCTATTGGCCAACAGAGCTTTATATATACACAGAAGGACTTCCCCATAAGGTGTGAAAATACATTTGTTAATGAAATTAAAATCTGTTTCTCTGTTTATCTCCCAAAGCAGAAGCAGGTAAGCTACATATCATTAACCAGATTCATAAAAATGAAAACTTCTATGCATCAAAAACCAACACTGAAAGCACTGAAAAGACAAATCACAAATCTTAAGAATACATTTGAAACTCATACACACACACACACACACACACACACACACACACACACACACACAGCCAATCAAAGGAGCCAAATGAATTGTGAAATGAAGAAAAAAATGGCAGATTCATTCATTGCAATCACTTTAGGAAGAGAACCAGAGAGAGTCAGTCATCCAAACCCAACTCCGTCTTTGGGATTCTGAAAAGTCATGTGCATAGCTAAGCCGTCTTGCCATGGTGTGGTCCCTCACCACCATTATGTTAGCTCCTAGGCTCTTCAGAAAGCTTTGTCTAACCTAGCCTGTAAATAGACCTAGTATAGACAAACTCTTCTTGGGTGTCCTCAAGGCAACAGACATTTCTTCTCCCATCAAAAGGTCACAGGGAAACTTCTAATTTATTGGGGTCCATCCTTTCAATAGTCTGATAGTCAAGGAGGAAATGGAAACAGAACTGTCTCATTAGAATATATTCCTTCCTACAGGCTGACTAGTTCAAGAAAGCAGTGTCCTGGTTGAGCAGAGATGGAAGCAATGGAAAGGCTACAAGAGCAGGACTTTAGTCTAGGATAAAATAGACTCTAAATTGGATTGCGGGATATAGAACTCTGAGATTATGCTGTGAACCACTGACTCACTCATCTAAAATCATTTAACAGGATAGTAAATGATCTCTATTGACAACATTCACATAAGGACACATTGAAATGTTATATTTTTAAAAAATGTGAATAAACAGGGATGTCTATATTTCATGTTCTCTTTCAAAGAAGCTACTTTAGAGGAGGAGGAGGAGAGACAAAGAGATCTTACTTCCCACTGTTCTCCCAGTACATTATACATTCAAGGTCACTGAGAATCAGCAATAATTTCACAGGTTCACATCTGCCTTCTGGATTTTGCACTTAGCACCAAGGCTGTGACTATCCCATGTGTGTTTGCTTTTGTGGGTACAAGTTACACTTTAACTAATTATTACACTTTGTATACCTGCAAGAGCAGAGGAATCATCATTTGAAAGGCAGTTCTGAACTTAAACCAAGATGTCTGTGAAAGTGACAGCAGCCTTACTCCTACTACAGCTGAGTGGCTTATTTGGATCAGGGAGTACTGGCAAGGTGCTGGTGTGGCCAATGGAGTACAGCCACTGGCTCAACTTAAAGACAATCCTGGATGAGCTCGTGAAGAAGGGTCATGAGGTGACTGTTCTGATACCCTCAGCTTCTCTTTCTTATGAAGTTGAGGATACATCTGTCATTGAATTTGAAATATACCCTTCTTCCTTTTCCATGGATGATTTGGAGGAACTTTACATGGAATCAATGAAAAAATACATTTATGAGCTGCCAAAGCAATCATATTGGAGATACTTTTTCATGTATCAAGAATTAGTTTGGTTAGATTCAGATTATTTTGAAAGTCTCTGCAAAGATGTTGTTTTCAACAAAGAACTCATGGCAAAACTACACAATTCAAGCTTTGATGTCATCCTGGCAGATCCCTTCGTACCCTGTGGTGACCTGCTGGCAGAGATTCTCCAGATACCACTTGTGTTCAGTCTCCGCTTCTTTCCTGGCTCCACGTATGAAAAGTACAGTGGAGGACTCCCCCTACCTCCTTCCTACGTGCCAACTGCTCTGTCAGAACTGAGTGACCGGATGACATTCATGGAGAGGGTACAAAATGTAATCTATGTGCTTTGTTTTGACTTTTGGTTCCAAACATTTAATGAGAAGAAGTGGAATCAGCTTTACAGTGAAGTATTAGGTAAGTGCCTGTTCAGTTGGGATTGCTGCATTCTCAATTTGCTGTGTCATTGGAGGAGAACTTGAAAGAACAGGACTGGCAGCAGCAGGATTTATCTCTCCTAAGTACAATGGTGAAAAGTCTATGAAACTTTCTGTCAAATTCAAAGCATTGCAGAAAACCTTGTGTCCCAAGGACAACTGCAGAGCCTTGGCTACTAATTTCACAGGAAACTTCAGAAAGGCACACTCCTACATAAGAAAACTTTGAGAATTTCTCTAAGAAATAACATATCCATAACCCATTTTACCTCATGTTTTAAAACAGTAGTTTTACCTGTGTGGTATCATTATCATCATCATCTTCTATTTCATCATCATCAACATCATATTGCTCACTTGTCTTTCAGGTGGGAAGTCTGTGCTCTGTGAATTGTATGTGGAGGTGAAATTCAAATTTTGTTGAGTTTCTATTTCACCTCTCTTTGGATTGTCAAGATACATACAGGTGTTCAGGCATTTTGGAGCCTGAACCCAAGTCATTAAGCCTTCATGGCAAACACTTTTGCCACCTAGACCCTAAAATAGTAGCTTCAAACAAACTCAGTATCATCACAATTTATACATATAGACTGAGGACTAATAAGTATTGCTACATAGCTATCTACATAGTGTTGAGAACTTTTCTTTTTATATACATTATTTTTCTTATTTATAATTTGAACTAATTTATCACTTTACCTACTAAAGTTCTGCACAGCTGTGAATACACTGTCTATGTACCAATCACAGACAACATATGAATTCAGGATTTTAGAGAATCTAATTTACTTATTAGGAGGGTTGAAATTGTGTTTAAATGTATAATATTGAAATGTAGATACCGATTACTAGTTACAGTCTTTTAAAATGCACCTAATGACCAAACAACTCTCTCTCCACATTTTATGTTGTCCTTATTGTCTGCAAACAAACTTACACAGGTCTAATTATTACACTGTCAATAATGAATCAAATAGTATGAGGACAAGAACCCAGGGATAAATGAAAATTCTTTTTGAGCTTTTCTATGTCTGTATAGTGAGACCCTTTCTCAAAATGAAGTGCTGAAGCAGTCTACAATCCCCCAAAATGTCGCATTAGGCACAGCAGCACACACCTGTAATCCCAGAAATTGAGATACAGAAGATAATCTGGAGTTCAAGGTCATCATTGGCTACATAGTGACATAGGGGACATCCTGGCTCTACCAGATAATCTCAAAACAAGACAAGACAAAACAAAAAAAACACAAAATTCTCAGTTCCCTTAGGGGAACACACATCAAGTTTCCAACAGTTAAACAGGGTAAACCAGATGGAAAGTTCCAGGAAAGGAGTTTCCCTAACTATGACAAACAAGAATCATATCTAATGACATTAATTATATTTAAATGGTAAATCTAAATATTTGGTCATCATAAATTTCCAAGATGTGTTACATGCACTATGTTTTCTGCCATGCCACTTGCACAGTGAATTTACATACTGGAAGCATAAGTATGAGAAACATATTGCTACTACATATCAAGCATTATACACACAGATCAGACAGACAGACAGACAGATACATGATTCATATCTAAGTCACACACACATGTGAGCAACTCTGGCTGCATTGTCAAAAGTGCTTTCAGAAGACTACCTAGTATACTCATCGTCACCTGATGTTTGTCACCTGTTGTACCTTCACTGTTCTGATTTCTCTTCAGGAAGGCCCATGACACTCGTGGAGATGATGGGGAAGGCAGATATATGGCTCATCCGAACCTACTGGGATTTGGAATTTCCTCACCCATTCGTACCAAATTTTGATTTTGTTGGAGGACTGCACTGCAGACCTGCCAAGCCTCTGCCTAAGGTAAATGGTGCCCCCTTTGTTTGCTTCTGTTTTACTTGCATTTCAGCAGGAATGGTTATATTTTATTACTTCAGAATGTGTGTCAAATTCAAGAAAGCCACAGGAATTTAGAAAAAAAAGTATCCAGTAGAAAGTATGTGAATTTCACTTGATTAAATTAAGACAATAAGATTCTATTTTTAAAAAACGTTTTCTTATATTTGAGTGTAAAAAGAACACATATACAAAATGCAGAGATTAGTTCAAACTCCACCTTATACAAAGTTATTTTAGGGAAAATGGAGTGTGAACAGAGAAAAACACATTTTCAAAAGTCAAAATGGTTCTATATACTTTCTTGAGCAATCACAAGAGTGGAAACACACTCCTGTACAAACATACATACACCCATACATCTGTAGTAACAGACACAGTAACAAATTGTCAGCAAAGAGAAGTTTCTTTACAATGAAACTAGTATCAGTTACAAAAACACAAATTAAAAGAGAATGGACATTGTTAACAAAATTAGACATAGATTTATGGTCCATGAATTCCACTCCTGATAATGTATAAAGGAACTGAATGAAGGACCTCTATGAGAGAGCAATACAAGGATGATCACAGGAGCACTATTCCTGAAGGGAAGAAGGGAAGAAGAAGGGTTTGAATAAGAGTGGCCCCCACAGGCTCATGTACTTGAATATTTGGTTACCAGTTGGTGGCTTGTTTAGGAAGAATTAGGAGGTATGGATTTGGTTGGGCATAATGTGTCACAGGAGGTAGACTATGAGATTTCAAACACCCCAAACATTCCTGGTCTCTTTTGCTCAGTAAGCACGTTTCATTCAGGCTGAGTACTTGGTCACTATTCCAGTGCCATGCCATGCCATGCCTGCCTGCCTGCCATGGTGATGCCCACCATGATGCTCATAGGCTCACCCTGTGAAACTTTAAGCAAGCCCACAATTAAATGCTTTCTTTTATAATGTGCCTTAATCATGGTGTCTCCTCACAATATTAGAACCGTAACGAAGAGTGGAAAAAACAACCTAGAATTGTTGACAAGAATTATATACTCTGAAAATAGAAAAATATCAATAACATGTAAAAACCTGGTGTATAGAGATTCATGGTATGACCTTAATGACAGTTCGCTAAGTAAACTAGCCAAAGACAGAAATAAAAAATGCCTTTTATAATCTACCTCAGTGGACAAAATAATCCAAACAGAAAGCAGATGTTTAGCCATCAAGGTACTAGGAAGGGACAATAAGAATTTTGAATTTAATACAAACAAATCTTGATTTTCAGCATGAAAATGTTCCAGAATTGTTTGTATGACTGTAAATATGTGTAACACAGAAAACTCTAGCTATCCAGTTGGCTGCAACTCTACATCTTATATGTGGATGTGCACAGTTTTAAAGCACCCACTTCTCTAACATTTCTAATGCTGCTCAGTGTCTTCCTGTGGAGGGTGGTGTCAGTTTTTATGCAGGAGATTTGGTGCTGCTGCACTTTGTGATGGGGTGATATTTCATTACCAGGACATAGAAGACTTCGTCCAGTCATCTGGAGAACATGGTGTTGTGGTGTTTTCCCTGGGCTCCATGGTGGGAAACCTAACAGAAGAAAGGGCCAATGTGATTGCAGCAGGCCTCGCCCAGATTCCACAGAAGGTGAGATACAAACTCACTGTTTCATCCTCACTAAGATGGCCACATCCTGGTCAGGTGTGACTGCAGAGACCACCTGTGTGACACTGAAGCTGTCATGAAAACTCTAGATCATCTCTGAAGTCACCTGTGACACAGAAATATAGGGACAGGTGCCAAATACTGGGTGGTGTTTTTGATTAATAACTGAATATCATTGTGTTCAGAACAGTTAACAAGTGTTTGTGCACTTAGTGTTAGGAAGGTGTTATATGCACAGAAATGTGCCTTGTTACTTCCTCCATATTCTTGCAGAATATTTGAGGACTTTGCACACACTACAGTGTAATGAGACTGCTATTAAATTGTAAAGAAGCAGACATTCACTATTGTCAGTTGTGGGACCTGAGAGGTGACCTATCTTTTAGAGGATTTTCTGCTCACCCAGAGGACCTGAATTTAGTTCTGAGGCCCCATGTGTGGCAGATTACAGCTGCCTATACCTGTATCCCAAGGGATGCAAAGCACTCTCATGACCTCAGATCACACACAAGAGAGAGAGAGAGAGAGAGAGAGAGAGAGAGAGAGAGAGAGAGAGAGAGCAGAGAGAGAAAGAGAGACAAGGATATATTAACTTACACTTAAGTAGAAAAATTCCTTATGTTAAAAATGGAATTTGTGCCATATCAGTTAGTTTTTTGTTTATTTTATTTTGTAATTGCCTATTTGTTTTCTAAGGAAAGAGATGAAAAGGTGTGGATTTCAATAGGAGGGTTGAGGAGGAACCTCTAAGAGGGATTGGAGGGCAATACAAAATTAGAATATATTTTATGGATGGAAAAAAATCTCTCTTCAATTAATGGAAACTAGACAAAAGAATTAAAATGTAACATTTAAAACTGGGCTTTAAGTCATAGTGTTACAATCTTGTGTAATCTTGGCCAAATGCAATAACCTACTATTAAAGATAGCTTACACTGGTATGTTTCTCCTGGTAATTCAAAACACAGGTAAGACAGGATTTTCCAACCTCCAAATCCACCTTTGGGACTGAGCCTCTTACCACTGAAAAAGGGGGCAACTCAAGGGGACCTGCTCTCTGAGTGACCATGTACTTAGACAGTCACATTCAAGGGAGTAATCTAATAAAATAAGTATAATAAAAGGATTATAAGTGAACTAAATCAAATACAATGGACAAATATTTGTATTACAATGAAAAAGCAGGTTTATAATAGTAACTTTGGTGTGTTTTTGATCTAGAATTACATTCACTCATTTAACTCCTGATTGACACTTTTGGACATAACTCTGCGTAAGTTCCTGTTAACTAAATGTGAAGGTTGCATGCTGGAACTTAGATAAGCCTGAGAACAAATGCAGGAGAGTGAAGGGCACTTGCATTCTGATTGGAGAATTCTTCATGGTTCCCATCATCCATCCATATGGCTTGGCTTGAAGGGTCTGAGTATTTATGACTGTTGTTTCTTAATCTATCCAGATTTTCTAGCAGAAGTAACATGACATTTAACCAATGTAATAGACATTAGCTTCATCTTAACAGGTTCTTTGGAGATTTGAAGGTAAGAAGCCAGACACCTTGGGCTCCAACACTCGGCTGTACAAATGGATCCCCCAGAATGACCTTCTCGGTAAGCATCAGAGACACCTGAGTCATGAGGAATGGCTGCTCAGGAAGGTGAATGACAATGTTAATGCATTTATGACAACTATGATCTAGTCCTGGAGAAAATGGATGAAGAACTGGTAAGAATATGCTGTACAGTGACAGTGGAGATGGACAATCCATCTCTATCTCTGCTATAATTATCATTCAGATACACTTAAGCCTATTCTCCATGTTTGTGTTCACAACCTCTTCCACATATTTATGTCTACATTTCCCTACGGTAGCTCAATAGCAGATGCCAAAGAGAATGGCATTCTCTCATGAATGACTCTTCATTTTATAGTTCTCCCAAAAGTCCACATAATAAGGCAGTCCTATTATTGATGAAGTATTGCTTGTCCTAAGTCTCATCCATCAATATGAGCAACCAACAACCTACTACGTGGAAGCAACATACCATGAGCAGTGGCTTCACAGTTCCTTTAGGAGAGCACACTATCCCGAACTACTGCCTGCGATTGAACACACTGTTTGCTCCACTTTGGAGGAGCTCTTCCCTTTGTGTTCATTTCTCAAAATCATTCTACTTCTCCACTCTACCTCCTTATGTGGTCTTCAAGTATCCTCACAGACTTGTGGTACTCCTTCCTCTAAGACATGAGAGGAGTCCAGTGCACTCCAATGGTTATGACAATGTTATCATGAGAGTATTTGTCCTTTCTATGACCTTTCTCCTGCCTCTCATTTACTTTCACAGACATAAGACTAATAGTTTCCTTAATTTCTCCCCTTGCTAGGTCATCCTAAAACCAGAGCTTTTATAACTCATGGTGGAACCAATGGCCTCTATGAGGCGATCTACCACGGGATTCCTATAGTTGGCATTCCTTTGTTTGGAGACCAATTTGATAATGTTGTTCACATGAAGACCAAAGGAGCGGGTATTAGACTGGACTTTCTCACAATGTCCAGTACAGATTTGCTCAATGCCGTGAAGACAGTCACTACTGACCCTTCGTGAGTACAGTGATTTTGTTCCATTTAGTACTACTACAGATAGTTTCTCTCCAAAATAAAAGCAGAATACTTTTTAGTCTAAGTTTGAAAACAACAACAACAATAATATAAAACTCATTGAACCACTATGGAAAGAGTTTTTCCTGTCAATCAAGACTGGAAACTATCCCTGTGCACTTACTGTATAAGAAGTTAGATTAGAATAACTTAATGGTGGGAAATATTTTCTCTTCCTCAATTATAAGACACAATTTATACAAATAAGATCAAATAAACAAACAGAATAATGAAGCTAAAAGCTATAACATATTTCAAGTTAATGTCCTGAATTTCTGAAAACTCTTATTCTTTTTGAAATAATTCTCCCTAAATTCCCAAAGTAGAAAAATCAAGAATACATATTGACATGTATATAATTATATATGTGTAATACATTATGACCATATATGAACACTTCCATTTCTGTCTCCTTGTGCATTTGGAATTTCATGCTCAAAATCCACTCTTCATTACTTAATCAGTCCTGTAATTGGTAAATCACAGTCATTGGCGCACTATAGAGCACTATCCTGCTATCAGTGCAAGCAGTTCAGGTTAGCTCACCTTTCTGTGTCCCCACTCACTCTCTCCATTCCGAACTGTCAGTTCCCACAGTTCTACACTCTTTTTTATGAAATAAGCTCTGGTAGTTTCCACACAAACATGAGAACTTGCAGTGTTTTTCTTTAAGGTGGTAATTCTCAACGTCTGGATCTTAGGAACTAAGACAGTTCTCAGTGCAAAATAACAGTTATGAAGTAGCAGAAAAAATTATCATTTAGGATTCCTAAGACAATCAGAATGATGTGTTTTCTGATGGAAGTGACCCACAGATTGAGAACCAGTAATTTAGGGCCTAGTTCATTTAGCTTACTATGATAGCCTCTAATTTTATCCTTGTTATGTAAAAACAAGATTTCCTTCTTTATAATGGCTGATAATATTTAACTATTTCTCATACCACAATTCTGTTACCCATCATCCCACATTGAGCACCTCAGTCAATTCCACTTATTAAATATCATGACCACTGACACTCAAACCATGAAGCTATTGTTTTAGTATGTTGTCTACTATTTCATTGAATAGATTCCTAATAGTAAGAAAGCTGAAACCCAGGGCAATTATTGTGAAAATTCATGCTCTTTCTGTAGTTACTCTGCTGAATTACACTGCAGCACCCACTAATGTTAAGAATACCTCCACATTCTGCAGTCACTGATCAGTCTGTGGTTTTGACATCAACTCCCAGAAGCTGCAGTGTAAAAGAAGACAATTGACTCACACAAGTTTTCCTCTGAGCTCCATACATGCTGCATGGCCCTCCTAAGCGCCACAGACACAATTAGAATAGGTTAAAAAGAAACAAAATAATAGCATCTGTCTCTGTGGATAGAACGAGGGGTTGAATTCATGTCCTCAAGCATTTTACACAGGCTATCAATGAGATACATCCCAGCCCATAGGTCACCTTGTGCAAAGTATATCCCTTTCTCACCAGTTGCCATTTTTAATTGCTAATACTATCTTATTGAGTTTTCAAAGAATTTCCACACAATTTCTTCCCAAGAGCATCAATGTCATCGTCAAACTGTAAGAAGCAACTCACCACAGTGCTATAAAGGGCTTATGAACATTGGCTCTGCTGCATAGATATCCTTCCCATTTCAGTGTTGGAAAGAGTTTCTGAGAAGTTGCCAGTTCACAGGCAAACCTTCAAACATATTCCATTGAACACTGTACCTAACACTCCTCTATGGAATTTGTTGACTCTCACTATATTTTCCCAGAAAGTGTAGTGAGAATCAGTAAATTAATTGGTTTTTGATGTCGATGTCTTTAGCTATAAGGAGAATGTCATGCGACTATCAAGAATTCACCATGATCAGCCAGTGAAGCCCCTGGACAGAGCCGTCTTCTGGGTTGAGTACGTCATACGCAATAAAGGAGCCAAGCACCTACGTGTGGCAGCACACGACCTCACCTGGCTCCAGTACCACTCTCTGGACGTGATTGGATTCCTGCTTGCCTGTGTGGTAACTGTGATCTTCATCACCACAAAGTGCTGTCTCTTTTCTTGTCAGAAGTTTGCTAGCGCTGGAAAAAAGAAAAGGGAGTAACTGAGGTGGGGAGAACAGACACATGGACCTCCTCCAGTGCATCACAGCAAGGGAGACTTTCCAGGATTTCCTTCATCACAACTGACTTGGACATTATCACACTTACTTCAGCTTTTTGAGTACACTTGAGGGGAAAAGTGAGGTTCCTTTTCCCCTCACTTATAAAGTACACATGCAAGACAACACCACAAATTATTTCAGTCCCAAAAGCACTGACCTCATATTGTATGCCAATTCTGAAATGTCCCCACAACTCACAATTTGTTTTCTTGATTTTCTTTAATTTATTTATTCAGAATTTCTTACCTTGATTCAGTGAAATATTACATTCCTCCCTCATGACCACATTCCTACTTCCCACTGGATCTCACCCAATATGTCCCAATTGCAACTTCCCATACTCTTATTTTGTTTTTAACAACCTAGTAAGTCCAATTTGTGTTGTCTATAGATGAATGCATGTATTCCTAGAAGGGAGGGCATTGATGTATCATACGCAATTTACGAGTCCCACCAATCTGCATAATAATCATTCATCCTTTCCTGAAATTGCTCTTTATTTATTGGTGGAGTGTTAGGAGCTCTTCCCATTGTTTGTGGAATTTTGGCTTCTGATCTTATATAAGTCTTGTGCAGCTGAGAGGTCCTTTGATTTTATGAGTGCAATGACAACCTCGTGTCCAGAAAAAGTATTCCATACCACTTGTTCTCTTGGTAGAATTCATATGTTCTTTCACATTCTTCTGTAGTATCCCCTGAGCTTTGTCATGGGACAGATCACTCTTACCTTTTGAGAAGATGTAAGTCTCTACATTGATTGGTACCCACTACAACAAATGCTTCCCTGACAAAGGCTGAGAAAATTCCAGATCTGTGCCTATTAGCATAAACACTTAGAAGGTAATTTGCCAACATGACCATTCAGTAAAATAGCAATAGTGGGTCCAACAAGGACTTTAACCAGGTTTATGGTGCCAGATTCCTTACAATGGAGTTGGGTTCAAATCCATTGGAAAATACTTAGCTATCCATCGATTTAGCTTCAGTTACTAACTTAACAAAGCCTAGAACAAAGTCTAACCTACTGGTAAGTCTGGGAATGTATTCTGATTATTGACTGATGTAGGAATGCTCAAACTTCAGTCAATAATATGGTCCTGCCCACAGCATGGTCACTGACCTGACACAGAAGTGACCATTCCTACAGTCCTGTCCACAGCAGGGTGAGCCCTTCTATATCATGAAGACCCTGTAATGAATAAGAAAGGAGGTCCTGGTTGAATAAAAAAGCTAGTTAAGAATGAACCTGGGAGTTACACAACTCCAACTTTATCTTGAGGTCATCTCAGTTACTGCTCTAACACAGCCATGTGCCATCATACAAACATCAGATTTTATGTTTATTACAGTTAGTAAAAATCCAGTCATCCTAAACAACAGGAATAAACAGCAAATGGCACTCAGGACATAGCACTGTAAAAGGTTGCATCACTCATTTGCACTTTGAGGACAGCTTACACCTACCTTTTATTAGGTTCATCATGTACAGAAACAAAGTCTTCTTCATATAGTCCCTCTTCGGAGAACAATATGATATTCAGCAAATGGTGTTTCAATAAATCTAAGAATCTAGTCCTTTTTTCAAAAATGTATTTATTATTTATGCATACAATGTTCCGCTCACAAGTATCCTTGTAGGCCAGAAGAGGGCACCAGATCTCACTACAGATTATTGTGAAACAACATGTGGTTAGTGGGAATTGAACTCAGGACCTTGAAGAACTGTTACTGTTCTTAACCTCATAGTTGTAACTCTGAATCTAGCTCTATAATCCTGGAATATGCTATAAGATTCTAATGGGAAGGACAAAATTCGATTTCTAAAACAAGGCTTTCCTATTCTGATATCATAGCTGATTCAGATATAATTTGGTACTGGTATTCTAGGAATGGGAAAAATTCTTCAAGGCACAGTGTGATTTCTGTGTGCAGGTGGCATGATTTATTAAGAAAATTCAAGGTATTCTAGCTCATGACACTGATCACAGGATAAATGTTACCTTTATGATGTAAAAGAGTTCCTAAAATTAGTTCTTCAAGTTTTAACAGCAAATAGTGGAAATAATAGTTATCACTTTATAAAGAAGACAGCAGAGTTAGCTGCAAGATGCCAAGTCTCCAGGTGAGAGCAAGACAAAGAAAAACTGTATCTAGCAAATGATGTGGCTGCATATATTATAGATATAAATTCTTTGTAGAGTACAGATTCACAAAAAAAAATCTACCCCACTGCTACCTTAATCCCTACAATAAAATATTCACACATTTTGAAAAGGACTCCTGTAGTGTGAGCATTGAATTCCAGAACAGACAAGAAAACTTCTGTTCTAATGTTAGCTGAATATTACTAGAGTACCAGGTGAAATAACAAGATTTTTACCAACAACAAGGAAATCCTGTATGAGAAGCACATGCATTGAAAACAGGAACAATCTCACTTTTAACACAGAGCTTAGGCCTTCAGCCATAAATACTTCAAAGCTTCAGAGTTCAAAAACAGCACAACACTTAATTAGAGAAAATGAAGTGAACCCTGTGACAATCTTCCTGTCACACTAGAAGACTGACCCCCAAAAGTTGGGGAGTTAATTATGGTCACATTACCCAGGAAAGCATCAGTAGTGGGCAAGGACAGAAAAAAAGTTTAACTACAACCTGTACAGAGGAGCCTACAAAAAGAGAGATGAAAACTCGACTCCTCCATCAAGAGCCCTTGCTCCTTCCAAACCAGAACAATAGAAACAAAATGAAACTAGAAATAAATGAAATAATGAAGAGAGATGACTCTGACAAAAGAGTTCTAATGACTTGAAACAGATTATGCCAAAGTGCCCAAGTTACAGGTCAGGCTATAAAGGCAACACTGCCCAAAAGAAAACTTCGCGAGCAAGTGTTAGAAGGACACCGATTGATCAAAGGGAGAAAAATACAGGATAACAGAAGCAGACTCCGGCTCCTGCCATTACTTGGATTCAACACAGACCTGAGCAGAAACCATACTTCACCTTAGCTGAGATCAAGTGGATTCAGGATGGTGTGTCCCTTCCAAGGTTCACTTTAAACACCGTCCTTCTGACTTGGTTAGCACACAAGTCCAGTTTCTGCATATTGAGAATTTCAAGGCATAGTGCCTCATTAATTCTCACACTGCAGTTTTTATTTTATAGAAATGTTTCTATAGGGGATCCCAATCCTCCAAGCTGACTTGCTTAGAATTGCATCTTAGCGCCCTATTTTATTCGTTTATATGTACTATATTACTGTTTTTTCAGTATGTATGTGTGTGTACCTCATGTATGTTTGGTGCATTCAGAAGCTATAAAATGGCATAGGAAACCCTGTGACTTGAGTTACAGATGACTGTGAGCCTTGTGGGTGCTGGGATTCTAACTGGGTCCTCTTGCAAAGCAACTAGTACTTTAGGTGCTAAGCTAATACTTCAACACCAGGGTTTGAAGTGATAATTGTTTCTTTATAAGTTTCTTTTTATCTCTTTCTATTATCTTATTTCATCTGTTCCCTTTTGTGATTGTTTACCTGTATACTTGAGACAGAATCTCAGTATGCAGCTCTGAGTGTCCTCAAACCCTCTTGGTAGACAAGGATAGCATTGAATTCAGAGATCTACATGTAACTTTCTCCTGGGTGCTGGTATTCAAGGTGTGTGCAATCTTTCCTGACTAACTTAAGCTTCTTCCTTTTTGTTTCTAATAAAAATTATTTTTGTAGACATGCAGTGCTGGCACACTCCTTTAGTTCCTGCAAGTTGGAGGCAGACGCAAGAAGATCTCTGTTTGTTCAAGACCAGCTTGTTCTACAGAGTGAGTTCCATGACAGCCAAGTCTACAAAATGAAACCCTGTATCCACATATGAAAAGACAAAAATTATTTCATGTAAAAAATTATAAATGAAAAAAAAAACAGTAGCCAGATATGGTAGCACATGCCTTTAACCTTAGCACTCCAGGGACAAAAACAGGTAGATCTTTGAGTTTCAGACCAGTTTGGCCTACAAAGACAGTTCAAAGATAGCAAGGGCTACATGAGTCACCCTCTATCAAAAAATAAACAATAAACAATAAATAAATAAGTTTTAGGTAGGATTGGGTATTTGTATGTGTGTGGGGTGTGTGTGTTTAGGATTTCTTCCATCCTATTGTCATAATGTTTGGAAATAAACATTTCATATTTGTTCATTGAGCTTGGTTTGACTTTTGTCTTTATTTAAACACAACTGTTGCAAATATGTATTATGTTCTTTGACACAGGCAATGCGTAGTTTTTAGGTACACATAATCGTAACAAATCACGTATTGGCATTACATTATTCTTCATGTTTTATAGTGTATTTTATTATTTCTATGTTTTATTATATCTTGTGTGAGAGTGATGAAATTATAGAGAATATAAAAAAATACAATTTGGTGATATTTGACAAGAATCAAAACTACCCATTGAGAAAAGTTGAAGGGTTTGTTGTTTGCTTTATCGTTTTTCTTCTTTTATCAAGGGCTGCTAAGAAAATTATTGGCATGAAGTATTAAAAATGGATTTCTACCCCATACCATTTAAAAATTATCTCTTAAAATGTTCTAAGAACTAAGGCAAAAAATAAAATATATGATGTTTATAAAAGTGTGGAAATGTATTTGTTATTTAATTTGAAATCTGTGTTTCTGTTTACCCTCAAAAGCAGATGCAGCTAAGCTGAACTTCATTAAATGAATTCATATAAATGAAAATGTTTCTGCATCAGTAACCATCACTGAAAATGTTGAAAAGACAAATCACAAACCTGGAGAATGCATTTGAAAGTCATACACACAAATACACACACACACATACACACACACACACATACACACACACAAAGACTTTAGCATTGTATAAAGATAAGACATAACTACATAATGTTGGAAGGGAAAACACATGACATGACTTCACATGAAATATAGACTGGGGATCTCAATAGGAATTTCCATGAAAGAGTTATATGGGGGTCTTATGGAAGTATTTCCAGCCTCATTACAATGAGGTTATCCAACTGAAACAACTGAAAACCAGAGTGAGGCAGGCCTTCCTCCTCTTAACTGATTAAAATCTAGAGAGAAACAATAGAGAGCAAGGGGAGACCTCAGATACTGCTGTATTGTGTTGTGGATGGCAGCATCAGCAGCTCCTTGGAAGCAGTCTGCCACTTGTCCAGACTTTATATTACCTTATATGCCACCCTAGAGCCTTCATCCAATGGCTGATAGAAGCAGAAGCAGACACCCACAGCTAAACACTGAGCTGACTTCCTGGAATCCAGTTGCAGAGAAGGAGGAGTGATGAGTAAAGGTGTCAAGACTAGGATAGAGAAACCCCAAAAACAGCTGACCTGAACAAAGTGGGAGCTTATGGTCCCCAGACTGATTGCTGGGAAACCAGCATAGTACCGACCCAGACCCCTTGATTGTGGTTAGGAGGCCTGACAAACCTATGGGGCCACTGGCAGTGGATCAGTATTTATCCCTAGGATATGAATGGACTTTGGGTGCCCATTCAACACAGGGATACTCACTGAGCCTAGAGACACGGGAAAGGGCCTAGGCCCAGCTCCAAAGGATATGGCAGACTTTGAACATCCCCCAGTGAAGGCCTCACCCTCCCTGGGGAGCACACAGGGAATGGGATAGGGAGTTGATTGGGCGCAAGGAAGGAGGGCATGAAGAGGGAACGGGGATTGACATGTAAAACAAACTTGTTTCTAACTTAAATTAAAAAAAGAAAAAAAAGAAATAGATTTATGGTTCATGAATTCCACTCTTGAGAATGTATCTAAAAGAACTGAATGAAGGATGTCTATGAGATAGTAATGCAAGGATGATCATAGCAGAACTATTCCTGAAGGGTGGTTTGAATAAAAATAGCCCCCACAGGCTCATGTATTTGAATGTTTGGTTACCAGTTGGTGGCCTGATTAGGAAGAACTAGGAGGTATGGCTTTGGTTGCAGATAATGTGTCACAGTAGATAGACTATAAGGTTTCAAAAGCCCAAAAGTATTGGGTCACTATTCCAGTGCCATGCCTGCCTGGATGCCCGGATGCCTGGCTGCCTGGATGCCTGGATGCCTGGCTGCCATGGTAATTCCCACCATGATGCTCCCCACCATGACGCTCATAGACTCACCCTGTGAAACTTCAAGCAAGTCCCCAATTAAATGTTTTCTTTTATAACTTGCCTTAATCATGGTGTCTCCTCACAATATTAGAACCGTAACTAAGAGTAGGGAAAGCAACCTAGATATCACTAGAATTGTTGACGAAAACATATTTTCTGCAAATACAAAGATATCAACAATACTTAAAAACCTAGGGTACAGAGATGCATAGTATGACCTTAATGACATTATGCTAAGTAAACTAGCCAAAGAACACGACAGAAATAAAGTAAAAATGAATTTTGTAATCTACCTAAATGGCCAGGATAATAAAAACAGAAAGCAGATGTTTGGCCATCAAGGTATTGGGAAGGGAGAAAGAGAACTTTAAATTTAATGTAAACAAACCTTGATTTTCAGCATGAAAATGTTCCAGAACTATTTGTATGGCTGTGAATACATGTAGCAGAGAACTGTAACTGTTCAGTAGGCTACAACTGTGCATCTTATATGTGGATGTGCACAGTTTTAAAGCATCCACTCCTCCAGCATTTCTAATGCTGCTCTGTGTCTTCCTGTGGAGGGTGGTGTCAGTTTTTATGCAGGAGATTTGGTGCTCCAGCTCTTTGTGATGGGCTGATATTTCATTACCAGGAAATAGAAGACTTTCTCCAGTCATCCGGAGAACACGGTGTTGTGGTGTTTTCCCTGGGGTCCATGGTGGGAAACCTAACAGAAGAAAGGGCCAATGTGATTGCAGCAGGCCTCGCCCAGATTCCACAGAAGGTGAGATACAAACTCACTGTTTCATCCTCACTAAGATGGTCACATCCTGGTCAGGTGTGATTGCAGAGACCACCTGTGTGACACTGAAGCTGTCATGAAAACTCTAGATCATCTCTGAAGTCACCTGTGACACAGAAATATAGGGACAGATGCCAAATACTGGGTGGTGTTTTTGATTAATAACTTTGAATTATCATTGTGTTCAGAAAGAAAAACAGTTAACAAGTGTTTGTGCCCTTAGTGTTAGGAAGGTGTTATATGCACAGGAATGTGCCTTGTTACTTCCTCTATTTTCTTGCAGAATATTTGAGGACTTTGCACACACTACAGTGTAATCACACTGCTATTAAATTGTAAAGAAGCAGACACTCACTATTGTCAGTTGTGGGACCTGAGAGGTGACCTATCTTTTAGAGGGTTTTCTGCTCACCCAGAGGACCTGAATTTAGTTCTGAGGACCCATGTGTGGTAGATTGCTATTGCCTATACCTACATCCCAAGGGATCTAAAGCCCTCTTATGACCTCAGATTACACATACCATACCACATACACATACACACACACACACACACACACACATGCACACGCACGCATGCACGCACACACACCTAACATACATAAGAACACAGAGAGAGAAAGAGAAAAAGAGACAGGGAAGAGATTAAGTTACACATAAATAAAAATATTTCCTTATTTAAAATGGAATTTGTGCTATGATAGTTTATTTTCTCTTATTTTATTTTTATTATGTAGATGCCTATTTGTTTACTAAAGAAAGAAAGAGAAGAAAAGGTGTAGATTTCAATGAGAGGGGTGGGGAGGAAAGTCTGAGAGGTTGGTGGGAAATCCATAATTGGAATATATTTTAGGGATGAAAAATATGTCCTCTCAATATGTGGAAAATAGACAAAAGAATTAAAATGTAACATTTAAAAATGGGGTCTGTACAAACCCTCTGAATGTGGGAACCAGTAAGGATGTCTGGGAAATCTATACATCCTCTAACAGGGGAACCAGTATGTATCCCTAGTGCACAAATAGACTTTGGGAGCCCATTCTCTATGGAATGATACTATTTCACCCCAGATTCACGGAGGAGGACCTAGGCCCTCCCCCAATGATGTGACAGACTTTGCTGATCCCACATGGAAGGCCTCACCATCCTTAGGGAGTGGATGGGGGGGGATTGTTGATAGGTAGGGAGCATGAGAGGGTATGAGGGAGAGGGAAGGAGGGGTTGATATGTAAAATGTTTGTAAATTATTAAATAAAAATAGATAAAATGGGATATGTGGCATGGTGTTACATTCCTGTGTAATCTTGACCAAATCAATCACCTACATTTACTGTGGGCCTATGCTGGCATGTTTCACCTGGTAATCCAAACCATATGTAGGACAGGATTTTCCAACATCCAAGTCCACCTTTGGAACTGAGCCTGTTAACACTGAAAAATAGGGTAACTCAGGGACTTGCTTTGTGAGTGACCGTGTACTTAGACATTGTCACAATTCAAGGGTCTAACCTAATAAAATAATAAAAGGATTATAAGTGAACTAACTCAGATACCATGGACAAATAGTTGTAGTGACTTTGGAAAATAAAAACTGCTATAAACATGTGTTGGAAAAACAAAACCCAGTAAATAGTAGTAACTTTGGTGGATTATTGAACTGGAATTACATGCACACATTTCTCAAATCCTGTTGACAATACTGAACCTAACTTTGCCTAAGTTCCTGTTGACTAAATGTGAAGGTGGCATGCTGAAACTTGGACAAAAATGAGAACAAATGCAAGAGAGTGAGGGTACTTACATCCTGACTGTAGAATTCTTCGTGGTTCCCATTATCCATCCACACTGCCTGGCTCTTAGAGACTGGGCATTTATCTCCACTGTTGCTTAATCTAGCCTGAATTTTAGCACAAGTAACTTAGCATGTGACAAAAGTAATAAAAAACTAGCTTCATTTTAACATGTTCTTTGGCGATTTGAAGGCAAGAAGCCAGACACCTTGGGCTCTAACACTCGGCTGTACAAATGGATGCCCCAGAATGACCTTCTCGGTAAGCATCAGAGACTCCTGAGACATGAGGAATGGCTGCTCAGGAAGGTGGATGTCAATGTTAACGCATTTATGACAACTGAGATCTAGTCCTGGAGAAAATGGATGAAGAACTGGTAAGAATATGCTGTACAGTGACAGTGGAGATGGACAATCCATCTCCATCTCCACTGTAATTATCTTTCAGATATACTTAAGCCTCTTCTTCATGCTTTTGCTCACCTCCTATTTCCATACCTTTATATCTACATTTCCCTAGGATAGCCCAATTTCTGATGCCAGTGAGAATTGCATTCTTTTATTAATGACTCGTGATTTTCTAGCTCCCCCAAAACACGACATCTCAGGGCAGTCCTATATCTGATGAAGTATTGTTTGTCTTAAGTCTCATCCTTCAATATGAGCAACCAACCACCTACTACGTGGAAGTAACCTATCATGAGCAGTGGCTTCGCTGTTTCTGTAGGAGAGCATACTCTCCCGAACCACAGCTTGCACATGCTGTTTGCCCCACTTTGGAGGATCTCTTCCCTTTGAGTCCATTTGAAAAAATAATTCTGCATTCCCACCCCATCTCCCCTATGTGGTCTTCAATCATCCTCCTAGACTTGTGGTACTCCTTCCTCCAAGACATGAGAGGAATTCAGTGCACTCCTCTGCTTATGATAATGTTATCTAGAGAATATTTGCCATTTCTATGACTTTTCCCCTGCCTCTCATTTTCTTTCTCCAACTTATGATTAACAGTTGCCCTTAATCTCTCCCCTTGCTAGGTCATCCTAAAATCAGAGCTTTTATAACTCATGGTGGCACCAATGGCCTCTATGAGGCGATCTACCATGGGGTCCCTGTGGTTGGCATTCCTTTGTTTGCAGACCAGTTTGATAATGTTGTTCACATGAAGACCAAAGGAGCGGGTGTTAGACTGGACATTCTCACAATGTCCAGTACAGATTTGCTCAATGCAGTGAAGACAGTCATTACTGACCCTTCGTGAGTATGGTGATTTTTTTTTAAGTTGGTATTAGTCCAGAAAGGTTCTCTCCAAAGTAAAAGCAGAATACATTCCACTCTAGTCTAAGTTTGAAAACAAAAACAATGATATAAAACCCATTTTACCACTGTAGAAGGAGCTCTTACTGTCAATCAAGAGTGCAAAGTATCCTTATGAACTTCCTGTATAAGAAGTTAGTTAGAATAATTTGATGCTGGAAAAGATTTTCTCTTCCTAAATGATAGGATACAATTTACACAATTAGGATCACATCAACAAAGAAGATAATGAAGCTAAAACCTATAAAATATTTCAAGTTAATGACTTACATTTCTGAAACTCTTAATATTTTAATTAATTCTCACTTAATGCACAAAGTAGAAAAATTAAGTATGTATATGCATAGATACATATGTGTAATATTTAATGACCAAATATGAACACTTACAATTTCCATCACCTTGTACATTTGTGATTTCATGCTCAAAATCCCCTCTTCATTATTTAATCAGACTTGTAACTTGTTATTGACTCACTGTAGAGCACGATCCTGCTATCAGTGGCAGGCTGTTCATATAAACTCCCCTCTCAATATCCCCACTCACTCTCTCCATTCTGAACCATCTGTTTCCACAGTTCTACACTCTGCTTCTATGAAATCAGCTCTGGTAGTTTCCACACAATGATGAAAACTTGCAGTGTCTTTCTGTGGGTCTTAAGGACTAAAACACATCTCAGTAGCAAAATTACAGTTATGAAGTAGCAGAAAAAAATTTTATCATTGGGGATTCCTAAGATCAGCAAAATTAGATGTTTTCTGATGGTCATGACTAACAGACTGAGAACCAATACTTTAGGGCCTAGTCTATAAGACTTAGTATGGCAGCTCCTAATTATATCTTCATTATTGTAAAAACAAGATTTCCTTCTTTGGGAGGTCACTAAGAGTTGATTTTTACATGAAGAGGGTTTGTGTGCACCTGTTTCATGTCAGTGTTATCTCCAGCCTTCTGCCTCTCTGTTTCCCATGGGCCAGTTGGGAATTTAAGAAATAGGGAGACTTAGTTCATCTCTCAGTGTGGCCATTCATAATCTGGGAAACCAAAAGCAGTCTGCTTCCTATGTGCACTTTTGCCTGCCTCTCTACATAGCAAAGATCAAATGAGCTAACATAGGTAGATGAGCACTCTCATCCCAGGTACTAACAGTCTGTTGTTGTTGAATGTCCTTGTCTCTTTTAGTTATTGTCTGATTTGAGTTTCTTGGCCCAGAACTTGCTGTATAGTCTAGGCCTGTCCAGAATTTGCCAACCTCTGGCTTTTGCACCAAAGTTCTGGAATTATAAGCACAAAATCCCATACCTAGATGAGGAGTCTCTTTATGAACATTCATTGACATATACTATGTGAAGATGACATTATGGGACACATAATTTCATGCAGAAACTAAAAAGAATTAATTAAAATATATTCAAAAACACATGAAATATCCTTTAAACGCTTACACATCCATGTGTTTTACCTCAATAGGACAATTTCAAGAATGTGAAAGTGAGGACTGATTTGAATTTATTTTAATTCAAGAGTGATACCATGAGATAAGAAGTGACCTACTTAGATAGTGGACCCAGGAGTGTGAGCAAATAGTGCAAAGGGAGCCAAGTGCTCCTGGTTAACATCCACAGCTGAAGATAAGTGGGTACCTCCTCTACTTGAATTCTAGCTTTGTAAGAGGAAACCATGTTTAAAAGAGAAGATGTAGGGAAATGTGAAAATGGAAATTTAAAATATCCATATTTTCAGCCTATACATATAAAAAGTAATATGTGACTTTTAAGTGTGATGTAAGTGTGTGTGTATGTATGCACATGTGTGTGCGTGCATGTGTGTGTGTGCGTGTGTTGCATGTGTGACTCCGCATACCCCCACAGGTTTAGTATAGTGGTATCTTGCTTCGCTAGTGAACTTGTGGTGGTAACTGCATTGTAGGGTCATGGCTTCAGTTGTGCAGATGTGACCCCTTATAAGGAAGAGGGAAGTGCTGGCTCCCTCTCTTGGGTTGTGGTCAGAGCACTGGAAGGGGAGAGACTACATCTTCAGGAGCAGTAAAACTGTGGCTGTTATTTACTATTAATTGTGTAAGTGCTTCCCTAATAAATATCTGTTAATCATTTTAAAAAATTTCCTTCTCTATAATGGCTGATAATATTCAACTATTTTTCATACCACAATTGCTTTATCCGTCATCCCACATTGAGCACCTCAGTCAATTCCACTTCTTAACTATCATAACTGCCATATAAACCATAGACATTAAGCCATGATTTTGATATGTTGTTTACTTTCTTCCTAGTAGGAAGAAAGCTGAAACCCAAGGTAGTTATTGGGGAAATCCATGCTCTTTCTGTAGTTACTGTGCTGAATTACATTCAGCATTCACTTATGATAGTAATACCGCCATAGTCACTGATCAGTCTGATTCTGACATCAATTCCCAGAAGCTACAGAGTAAAAGTAGACAATTGAATCCCACAAGTTTTCCTCTGACCTCTGTACATGCTGCATGACCCTCCTAAGTGCCACACACAGACACAATTAGAATAGGTTAAAAAACAAAAATATTGACAAATTCTACTTCTTCTACATCATAGTCATTACTATGTTTATGTCTCTGTGGATAGAATGAGGGGTTGAATTCAGATCATTGAGCATTCTACACAAGCTATCAATGAGTTACATCCCAGGCCTTAGGTCACCTTGTGCAAAGTATATCCCTTTCTCACAAGTTGACATTTTTAAATTACTAATAAGTGTTGTTTTTATTGAGTTTTCAAAGAATTTTGACATAATTTCTTCCAAAGAGCATCAGTGTGATCATCATCAAATTGTATAAACAACGTTACCCAGTGCTAGAAAGGGCTTATGAATATTGGCTCTGCTGCATAGATTTCCTTCCCCAAATGTTTCCCGATCCAATTGTGGAAAGAATTTCTCAGAAGTTGCCAGCCTACAGGCAAACGTTCAAACCTGTCCCGTTGAAAAACCACACCGTGCCTAGTGTTCCTCTACAGCATTTGTTGACTCTTACTATACTTTCCCAGAACCTTTCTTATGCTTCAATCACTTCAGTATTTAATTGTTTTTTGATGTCGATGTCTTTAGCTATAAGGAGAATGTCATGCAGCTATCAAGAATTCATCACGATCAGCCAGTAAAGCCCCTTGACAGAGCCATCTTCTGAGTTGAATATCCCATGCGCAACAAAGGAGCCAAGCACCTTAGTGTGGCAGTTCATGACCTCACCTGGTTCCAGTACCACTCTCTGGACGTGATTGGATGCCTGCTTGCCTGTGTGATAACTGTGATCTTCATTATCACAAAGTGCTGTCTCTTTTGCTGTCAGAAGTTTGCTAAAGCTGGAAGGAAGAAGAAAAGGGAGTAACTGAAGAGGGGAGAGAAGAAACATGGACCTCCTCCAGTGCATCACAGCAAGGGAGACTTTACAGGTTTTCCTTTAACACAACTGATTTGGACATTATCACACTTACTTCAGCCTTTTGAAGTAGACTTGAGGTGTCAAAGGTTCCTTTTATTCTCACTTATAAAGTACACATACAAGACAACACCGCAAATTATTTCAGTCCCAAAAGCACTGACCTCATATTATATGCCAATTCTGAAATGTCCCCACAACTCACAATTTTTTTGATTTTCTTTAATTTATTCATTCAGAATTTCTTACCCTGATTCAGTGAAATATTACATTCCTCCCTCATAACCACATTCCTACTTCCCACTAGATCTCACCCAATATGTCCCAATTGCAACTTCCCATACTCTTATCTTTAACAACCCAGTTAGTCCAATTAGTGCTGTCTATAGATGAATGCATGCATTCATGGCATGGGGGGGGGAGGGTTAGGATCATGTACAATTTACCAGTGTCCCTCCAATCCCCATAATAATTATTCATCATTTCCTGTAATCTAAGACTGCCACTTGCACTTTATTTATGGGTGGGGTGTTAGGAGATCCTCCCAATTCTTTATGGAATTTTGACTCCTGATTTCATATAAGTCCTGTGCAGCTGCCAGATCCTTTGCGTTTATGAATGCAATGACCACCACATGTCCAGAAGAAAGTGTTCCTTAGCATTTGTCCTCTGTGTAGGGTTCTTACATCCTTTCCCCATTCTTCTGCGGTATTACCTGAGCCTTGGCATGGGCCTGATCACTCACACCCTTTAAAAAGATGTAAATCTCTGCACTGACTGGTACCCACTACAACAAATGCTTCCCTGAGAAAGGCTGAAAACAATCTAGATCCGAGTCTATTAGCATAAATATTTAGAAGGTAATCATGGGACTGATCCAGACACCTCCCACCAAACCTGGGTGACAGAGAGGAGGCCTTGGCAACCTGTGGGACCTGGGAGAGTGGAGCAATATTTATTGCCGGCATACAGAAGGACTCTGGGAACCCATGCCATGTGGAGGGATGCTCTCTCAGCCTGGACACATGAGCAAGAACCTGGGCCCTTCCCGGGATGATGTGACAGACCCTGAAAGTCCCTCATGGAGGCCCTTGCCCTCATTGGGGAGCGGAGGAGGGGTAGAGTGGGGGTGATAGGTTGGAAGGATTGGGGCATAGGGTAGGAGGGGAGGGAGAGGGAACTGAAAGTGACATGCATAAAAAGTTAAATAAAAAAATATATGGAAAAAAGAAGGTAATTTGCCAACATGATCATTCAGTAAAACAGTGAGAGTGGATTCAAACTAGGAGTTTCTTGACCTTTAAACAAGTTTACAGTGTCTGATTCCTCTCAATGGAGTGGGGCTCAAATCCAATTGGAAATAGTTATCAATTGATTTAGCTTCAGTCACTAACTTGAAAAAGCCTACCGTTGTCTGTGAGGAAAGTCTGACCTACTGGTAAGTGTGGGAATGTATTTTGATTCTTGATTGATGTAGGAATGCTCAACCTTCAGTCCATAATATGGTCCTGTCCACAGCATGCTCACTGACCTGACACAGAAGTGACCATGCCTGCCGTCCTGTCCACTGCAAGGTGACCCCTTCTATATTATGGTGTCTCGGCATTGAATAAGAAAGGAGGTCCTGGATTGAATAAGAAAGCTAGTTAAAGATGAATGTGGGAGTTAGAAAACTCCAACTTTATCTGGAGGTCGTCTCAGTTAATGCTCTGATACAGCCATGTGCCATCATACCACAATCAGATTTTATTTCTATTGCAGTTATCCTATTCTATTGCAATTATCCTATCGTATTACTGGAATCCTAAACATTAGGAATGAAGCAGCAAATGACATGCAGTTCATAGAATTGTGAAAGGTTGTATAACTCATTTGCACTTTCAGGACAGCTTATTCCACCCTATATTATGTTCATCCTGGACAGACGCAATGTCTTCTTCATGTATCCCCAGTTCAGAGAACAATGAGATACTCAGTGATTTACCACTGGATCTAAGAATCTAGTTATATAATCCTGGCATACACTATAAGTTTCTCATTGGTAGGGTAAAATTCTAAATTTAAAATCACCACTATCCTAATCTGATATCATAGCTCATTCAGATATGATTTGCTAGTGGTATTCTAGCAATGGGAAGAATCCTTCAAGGCATAGTGTATTTTCTGTATGCAGATGACATGCTTTTATTAAGAAAAGCCAGGGTATCCTATATTGTGACCCTAACTACAAGACACAGGTTACCTTTCTGATGAAAAAGAGTCCTATAATTAGTACCTCAAATTTCAACAGCAAAGAGTGAAAGTAATAGTTACCACTTCATAAAGAAGACAGCAGAGATAGCCACAAGTAGCCAAGTCTCCAGATGAGAGCAAGGCAAAAGAAAAACTGTATCTAGCAAATGATGAGGCTCCATATATTACAGATAGAAAATTCTTTGTGCAGTGAAGAATCACAAAAAAATCTATCCCATTGCCACCGTAATCCCTGCAATAAAATATTCACACATTCTGAAATGGACTCATGAAGTGTGAGCATTGAATTCCAGAAGAGACAATAAAACCTCTCTTCAAATATGGGATAAATATTACTAGAATGCCAAGAGAAAGGAACAAGATTTTATCAATAAGAAGGAAATCCTGCTGAGACGCACATGCTTTGAAACTAGAAACAGTCTCACTCCCAACACAGAGCTTCAAAGCATCAGAGTTCAAAAAGAGCAGAGCATTTAATTAGTGAAAATGAAGTGTACCTTGTGATGATCTTCCTGTCACACTTAAAGTAGACTGACCCCCAAAAGTTTGGGACTTAATTATTATCTCACTAGCCAGGAAAGAATCGGTGGTAGACAAGGACAGAAAAAGAAGAGTAACTCCAACCAGTACAAAGGAGCCTACAAAAAGAGATGAAAAATGTTCCATCAAGAGTCCTTGCTCAAATCACCAGGGATTGAAGTGAAACTTACATTTCTTTTTTTATCACTTTCTTCTGATTTTTTTCTATTCTTTTCTCTTACTTGTTCTTCTTTGTAATTGCTTGCCTGTATACTTGAGATACAATCTCACTATGCAGTTCTGGGTGTCCTCAAACCCTCTAGGTAGGCCAGGCTAGCCTTGAACTCAAAGAGATCTACCCCCATCTACCTCCTTAGTGTGGTATTAAAGATGAGTGGCATCTTGCCTTGCTAACTTGAAATTCTCCTATTTGTTATTTTTTAATTATTTTTTGTAATCAGGCAGTGATGACACACCCCTTTAATCCCAGCACAGTGGAAACAGCTACAAGGGGATCTCTGAGAGTTCAAGACCAGCATGGTCTACAGAGTGAATTCACAACAGCCAATGCTACACAGAGAAACCCTGTCTCCAAAAACCAACAAGAAAAAAAGCATTTCTTGTAAAAAAAATAAATAAAGGAAAAATAAAACATTAGCCCAGAATATTAAATATCATATGCGTTTAACCTCAGCACTCCAGGGACAGGGGCAGGTGGATCTCAGAATTCCTACCCAACCTGGTCTACAGAGAGAGTTCTAGAACAGCCAAGGCTGCATGAGAAACCCTGCCTTAAACAAACAAACAAGTACACACACACACACACACACACACACACACACACACACACACACACACACACCGGTTGCCTTCAGAGGCCATCTCTACCAACTTCCTCCCAGGATTCAGTTAGGTTGCTGCAATACATAATTTCCTATCTAAGAGGTGCGGAATGAACTCACATGAGTGCTGTTTGCTCTTTATTCGTCTACCTCGGGTACTGAAAGTCTACAGCTTTTATACAAATAAAATCAGAAATTCTTTGGCAATAAGAAAGGCTGCAAAACGATTTCCTCAGGATCACAGAAGCATTCCTTGCAGACAGAGAAGAGTCAAAGAGCAGTAACTGGTCAGTGTATTTTATGGGTCCTGCAGGCGGGTACAGTCATAAAATGCTTTAGGCTTATCTCTTGAAGTGAAAGGGGACATAAAAACGAAAGACAGAACCAAGGAAAGGTCAAGGAGGAAAAGGGGAATTCATGCACTATTCCACGTTTTAGCAGTGTGGTTAAATATAAAAGCTAAACCTCTGTGGAAAAAAGCGAGACTCAAAAAGCACAGCTTCTTTTCCAGTCTGCCAGAGTAGCCTCACCAACACAGTGAGTAACCATAGCAACCTGCGTATGCACTGAGGAACCTTAGAGCGTTGACTTCTATTAGCACATTCGACAAATGTAAACTGGCAATAAAATTCTTTTAAGTCTAAAGATACGTCTTCTACCCTACGCGGTTAGAACATAGCAAAAGACCTATAACTATTTGTACAAAATGTGGAGCCTGACAGCTTTCACCCGCTCTAACTCACTTCTCAGGGACATAATGTGAGAATGCTTCCATTTTCCGGAGATGTTAAATCGTTTAATGAACTTTAACTGTTAGTTACCCAGATCTTAGGGCTAAAACATAAACATTTAGTCTCCTAAGGGAAGGTCTAGTATCAATAAACATAGGTAAAAGTGTATATGAAGTGCTAATAGCCTTCCTGCCGGGGCAGGAGAGAGCAGCGTTTCTGACAGCAGCAGGCTGGCTGGGATAGTTCAGAGCATTTTATCAAAATGAGAAAACGTTCTCATTTGGAAAGTACTCATTTGCAAATAATAAACACTTCTGACTCTCTCCATTTACCTTAGCATAATTTGCAAAAATGTAAGTATCGTTTCATAAAACACATCAGTTTATTTCAGAATGTTTTTTAAATATAAAGAAATATAGACTGTCTAGCATTTATCTTTACAATATTTATCAACAGATTTTTATTAGTGTATGAGTCTTTTTAGACAGTCATCACTAGTAACTAAGGGAAAATTGACCATGTTTGGAATTCCTATCCATTTTTATTGTTATAGTGTTGGCAAATAATTATTTTATGATTTTTGTTGATCTGGGTTTGAATGTTA